GAATAAAAAACAAACAAAAGAAAAAAAAAAGGCAAAAAGAATACATAGCCAAATTTAGGACAAAAGGTGCATCATTGATTACGCCGTGAATCTTGGCGCTTTAATTAATGGTTTCCTGAAAGGGAGGAAACACAACGCTGGAAATGAGCCCCACGGGGGCCAGAAAATAAATCTGTGCTGTCCATTCTTATATTTACCCTCTTACCGAGGAGAGACAGATCTTCTGTTGGCTTTTCTTTAACCAAAACACACAAACACAATCCCTCAGTGCCACGGGACGAGTCCAGATCACGTCCTCTGCGTTAGAGACACATGAAATGAGCGATGATCTGAGATCTTGTGCCGTGATAACAACGGAGATGGGACATTTCTTCTGCTTTAATTTTTCAACCGCTGCTTGGGTTTCTTCAAGTGGGCGACAGCGGGCAAGTCAAGTGAATTTTTGTCTCCATTAGGGCAGTAGTTTGACCCCTCTTGCTTTTAAACGCTCCTTCAGAGCAGTTATTATGCTTGACACCAGTGGCAGCTTCTAGCAACATCCTATGGAGTGTATGTCGTTCACACACACACACACACACCTGCAGACCGTTTGGTGGACTTGGAAACAAGAACTATACCCGTATTTTGAGGTTAGCCAATCATAACGGGCTATTTACATACTCTATAAACATCTTAAAGGTACAGTAGCAAAAACAACCCATTTAAATGTAAAAGTTTGAGAGAGAAAGTAATGAAAAAAGCACAATTCTGTCTGTATTTGGTTCAATCACCCTTGACTAACATTATTAGTGGGAAAAAAAAGCGTATTAAAAACTGACAGATTAATTAAAACCCATTAACAGCTGAGCCTCACATGACAATAAAGAAGACACAAAACAAACCAGCAGGCATGACCAATCAATCGGTTTAAACTCAAGACTTCACCCTTGTCGATCTTGTGAATCTGAACATACCTTGTAGCTCAGGCATGACCACACAGCTGTCATTATGATTGACACACTGATGACTGTAATTAAAGGAGACCCACAGTAAAATCTGTTTGCTTTTGAGTAAGCCACGGCCAACACGTCCTCTAGTTCGGCGAGGAGGTTGCTGTGCACTTTGCTGTCAAAATCAAGCCTACCCTATTTGCTAAAGTGGGTCTTTGTAGGCCTCTCTGCTCTGGACTCCTGTTAGTGAGGAGAGGTTTTTACAAGCCAATCAGGTTTGGATAATCATCATGTCTTTAGTGAGGATGTCAAAAGTACTGTTACTTTGGTATAAAGTCACTGAAAAACATCTGATACCCAAGTGCTGCAAGCATGGTCGAGTCTAATGTGGTCTGAATATGGCAGTTGTGACAAAAATATCTGTTTCCACCAAATATGAATTCTGCTAATATCCAGGAGAAGCAGAAAGACATGTTTTACGTTTTTTTTTCATCGAGTTGGCTAGAGAGTCATGGATAAATGTCACTGGTGGTCATAACTGGAGGTGTATTGTAGGCTAAAGGAGGAAAGTGTTCAGACTGCTCTTTTCCATAAAATGAACTGTAATTCATTCTATTGAGACTCAAAAAGTACTATATACGTACTATAAAATTGTTTTAAAATGCCCATTTAACGTCCATGTTATTTTTCCAGATCCTCTGAAGTCATACAATAGCACTGTACGAGAAACAGATGGAAATGTCAATATTCATTGAATTGTGGAATAAATGGGATATTATCCTGAGATAGGGATAGTCTAGGGGTGAGCAATATGAGCAAAGATTTATAACACAATATTCCCAAATTTTGGTTGATAATACAAACACTAGCATTCAAAGGGTCAGACAAATGATTTATATATATATATATATATTTTTTTTTTAGAAAGAAGTCACTTATTCTCACCAAGGCTGGATTTATTTGATCAAAAATACAGTAAAAACTGTAATATTGTGAAATATTAATATAAAATATATAAAATATATAAAAAAAACTTGTCAATGCTGCCCTGCAACTTTTATTAATAACAGTTTAAATATCGAATCACTGCATTTTATATTCCAGCAACCGGAGGATAAAATCGCTATTTTTGAATTAAACTCACTCGTCGTAAAGAGAGACACACAGATGCGCATACACGCAACTTTCACATCTCTCTCTCTCTCTCTCATTGGCAATATTTGAGAAAAAGGTTTAGCGATTTCTAATTATTGGGGGACTAGCCCCCCCTCAATGTCTATGGTGGTTATCGTCCTGATCAGACATGAAAATATGTTATGGCACTATCGTGCAGTCATTAATGATATAACGTTAGCGAACTTTAGCGATTTTTTGCAAACATTTCTTTGAATAACATGACCGTAAATATGAACTCACGATTGAATGCAACATAAAACAAATGATTACTTTTCATTAAAATCTTTATTAATGCCAAAAATGCTCACATTTATGGTTCTTTTTGTTCGCTCGGGCGGCCATGTTGCCGCTGTAGCCAGCTTACGCTGAGATAATTCATACCCTTTCGTTTAAAGTGTGGTCCTGTAAAATCTTCGTTTGAAGGGCTGTCTGGCCCTTCCTCTACCCCTACTCCTCCAACCAAAAGTGAATCGAGACACCCCTACCCCTTCAGGGGAAAGGGGAAGGGCTAAGAGGTAGAAATGGGATTGGGCCTTAATATACTAATATACAAAAATTGGACAACAGAAGATTGGAAAAAGGTTCTGCTGCAAGATTTGGATGGTAGGGTCAGAATTTGATGTAAACAACATGAAAGCATGGATCCACCTGCCTTGTACCAACGGTTCAGACTAGAGCCCGGCCGATATGGGTTTTTTTGGGGGCCGATTCGGATATTAGGGAGTAAAAAAAAGACCGATATCGATATATCGGCCGATATTCTTTATGTGTAGGCTATATTATAGTACAGTATAGTCAAAAGTTTGGACACACTTCCCATTTGTGTCTCCAAACTTTTGACTGGTACTGTATATAAAATACAATATATAGTCTACATAAACAGAATATAAGCACATTTTTTGCAATGATAACTCAAATGTGGTGATCAAACACTTATAATGATGTGACAAACATAGGCAGGGCATTTAACAATTTAACAATAAGCTTTATTATTCAAAATGAGTCTGACATCAGTGCACTTAACAGTAAACTTCACTTCACTTATTATAAATTACTTCAATAACACAAATAGAACAAAAAATATATAACTTGAATTAAGAAATTAAACAAGGTAACTGTGTAGGGCAAGCAAGCTACTGCCAAACCAACAGGGGCAGGTTTATGCAGGAAGCACAGCTTTTCCAGATGTAAACATCTAAAATTAATAAATAATAATAATTCATATTTTTTTTTGTTTTTTACTAAAATGAATAAATAATAATAATGAATAATTTTTTTTTTTTCACAGATTCTGTGTTGTGTATTTTCTGGTAATCAAATTAACATACAGAACATTCGTATTTTAAGTCTTTTTGCAGTTTAATATTCACAGAAACAGTCTATATATATGTACTGATTTGTTTTTTATTTATTAATCAAAAATAAGACAAATTCCATGAAATTCCGCTTTATACAGTAAATTCCATTTTTATGACCTGATTCCGCGATCGCAGAAATCATAGGGCCCTACTAATGTAGCAAACGAATATGATAAGCTCATTGTGAGAGTAAAAGACGGGGACATTGTTGTTTATTTACTTAGCATTGAGTCTCTCCAACTAGGTGACAACGTAGCATTAAATCACCATTCAACAGACTCAAGCCACCACCGCACTGCCGTCTATTATTGGACTGCAGAAAGATACTAACTTTTCAATCTGCTACGTTATACTGATTGTACTGACAAATTATGCTGACACCGTGTCTGCGCCGCAACAGGACGCGATAAAGCGACCGTTGAAAATCATTTGAACTTTGTGTCAGCACGTCATAAATAGAACAAGGCATCAGTTTACTGCATCCAGTGTAGACAACATGACTGATTATAATGGGTTCTATTCTACACCGGATGTGAGCGGCGCGGCGCGACAAAATACAAAAGAAATTCACGGCTGGTATAAACACCAGCATTGACTGAGTGGCCACGATCAGCTCCGGTGGCCGTAACACAGGCTTTAATGCGCCGCAGTCATGTGCTGTGATGCGCAGATCAGCTCTAGTCTCTAACGTCACTGAATCTGCTGTTAAAAATGAACTATCCATTCATCATATCATCACGCAAAACTAAGAATTAGAATCATTGTAATGTGATGATCAAATATAGGTGCAGGTGGGTGGCAGGCAGATAATTTGAAGCAGCGGACTTGGGTGAAGTTTGAGCTCATCGGCGCATCTCTACACTACACTGACCTGGGTCGCCAGTAGCAAACAATGGAGCGCGCTCTGCTGGACAAATGAAGTAATTACACCATTCAGAAGCATTTAATCTGCATTACATGTTCTGTAAAAAAAAAAATTAATATCGGCGGCATATTCGCTGATACCGATATATCTGTGACAGGCTCATATCGGCCGGTAATATCGGCAAAACAATATATCGGTCGGGCTCTAGTTCAGAAATGTGGTGGTGATTTAATGGTGTGGGGGATATTTTCTTTCCACACTTTGGGCCCCTTAATACCAACTGAACATTGTTTAAACGCCACTGCCTACCTGAGTATTGTTGCTGACCGTGTCCATCCCTTTATGACCACAGTGTACCCCATCTTGTGATATCTGTACCAGTTTATCATTTAACTGGTATATCTTCCATCAGTGCAAAGCGTTTTGAGCTGCATGTAGCCAGCTGGCTTAAGACAAATTAAGACAGCCCTCCACTTTACAGAACAACACAAACATAACCCACTGCTGCAAAACCATTATATGCCGCATCCAACATCATATGGAGGAGATTTCAGGCATAATGCCATCAGTCAATATAAACAGGAGAAATGAGTGTGATTAGTCGAGAAAGGCTCATTGAGTGTGAACACAAGCATTGATAAATGTCAACAGCTGTAAATAGCCACCACTGACCTCGTCCAGCTCTGAGATGTACACAGGTTTCTCCTCAAAGCCAATGGGCATGGGCTCGTTGGGGGGGATCTCAACCTCCTCATACATCTTATTATTCTCTCTTCTGATGCCCTCGGGCAGCAGCATCTGCCGGCACAGCAGAGAGGACATAATTACACAAAAACACATACAATTAAACCTTCGCCATGCATTAGCTCACGGCAAACGTCTCCTACCAAAACAGTGAAGACCAATGTTGAGGGCTGCAGCCAGCAGTGTGCTTTATTACAGCAGAAATTAAATGAAAATCTTCCAAAATGTGCTTTAGCTGTAAAAAAGCAGTCATAATGCTTGCAGCACATCTTTGTATATTTGCTTTGAGTAGTGGAATGCAGTGGGTTGAGCTGCGGTTGCTGTATATTCTGTAATGAAAATCATTTATAGAAATAGGAGAATAAATATCTAATTTTAGCACGCTGCATTTCCTCCAGCTCCTATAATTACAACTAATTTTCACCAAACTGAGAGCATATGCCGAACTAATGAGTGTGTCATACTCAGCTGTTGATCACAACACCACACGTCATCAAATCTGGCAATGCTACTCATCTTTGTCACATATTGTTCAGAGCTAAAACTGTTTGTGAGTATTCAAATAGTGCTCAATTATTATAATTGATTCAAAAGTTTGGGGTCAGTAAGAATTGTATATATATATATATATATATATATATATATATATACACACACACACATACCTCACAAAATTAGAGAACAAAAATACATTTTGAGTTTGAATTGAATAGTATTCAAATTGTTGAGAATTATTTACAAGAAATTAGATGCATTAAATTTTGTTCAAATATAATATGTAATACGTTCACGCCAAAA